AAGCCTTAGCATATCATTAGCATATTACGCTTTGATTGGTTGAACGGCCGACCGGTTGACCAGACACTTAGCATATTAGGCTTTTATTATATAGGATTTAAGAACTTGAGTTAGTGAACTGAACCTTAATAATTACTTAATAATCATCTTCTATGTCTGTTTCATTAATAAGAACCAGTAGACATATAGTCAGAGACCATTCTCAAACATAAATCCCAATGAAGCATATGCAGGTGCTGTTAAAAAAAATCAAAGGTAAGATAAAATTCATCTGAAGGTATGGGCTAACAAAAAATACAGAAATTTGAGAAGAAAGAAAAGGAATCAGTGAGTGGTTAAAAGGTTGTTTTTCTTTTTGGTCCTGGTTGACCTGACTCAGTAGTCCTTAACCTTGAAGGTTTTGGATCCTTTTGAGAGTCAGATCAAAGTTCACAGACCCCCCTGAAACCCCTCTGTGGGCCCCAGGTTAAGATGCCTTAATTTCGTTTAGATCCTTGCTACCTGATAATATTGAACTATCTTTTTAAAGAGCAGTCTTGATGTCTAGTAGGAAAGATATTTTCATTAGTCTTGTGAGCCTAGGATACACTGGCAGTAACATGGCAGAAGTCAGGACTATATTGTTGCTGATTGGTTGTATTCAGGCAAGAGACCAGACTTCCCGCGGCACTTTTGTAGAAACAGGGACATGAAGACATCCTACTCCTGGCATCACATGGTTCTTCTCCTTGTGGCTGACTCAGAAACATTTCTCTTTTCCCCTTTTTAACATTATCGAAATATGAGGTACCAGAGGGAAACACAAAGGTTGCATCCTGGAGAGGACAGCTGTAGAATGTAGCAGCAAGAACTCCAAGGAAGGCAACCCCTGTTCCTCCATTTATAAATTTGGGCCATGAAGTGGGCCAGTCATTGAGCCCTACTGACAATGAACTCCTTTGTCTTCAGATGTGGTAACTTACTCCTTATCAACAGAGTTTAGGTATCAGTTGGAGTATTTCCTTCTTGGCAAAAAACCCTCCCTGACTTACCCAGGTTTAGTTTCTAGCCTTTTAAATCCCTTTGACAGAAAGCCCAGCTCATCCTCCAGGCAGCCTCATTGGCAGTGGCCTGACCCATAGGCAGGCCTTGTCTTATTTGTTTAAAGCATCTGGAGCACCATGTCTTTACTTCTACTTTTCCTTTGGTCTCTTTCCTCCTCTGGCCTCTTTTTAAATATGATCCCATGTTTCTGCTCACTTCCCCCAGCGTATTCCACAAGGCATCTGTCTCTGTATGTTCTTGTGATCTCAGAACTTCTCTTCCAGAATTAAATTGGAAAGCTGTGTTCTGTTCACTAACTAGGGCAGCAGATGCTATCTCTGGTCTAGCTTTTAGCTTCTGTCTCTGTGCTGTATGGTTAATTTCTGGCCACAGCATTACTGCAAGATAGCTTTTGACTGGTGTCACATTATTCATCCTTAATACTCCAGTACTATATATATATATATATAAATCAACACAGTTTCTGGTGCATAGCAGTGCTCCATAAATGATTGTAGTAGCAGCAGTTATTATAAAGAAGAAACCTAAACCCAGAGAAAGGATTTGTATCAAAATTTAGACGTTAGCTTCACAGTTGAAATAGACTTCTGAATTCTTGTTTCTAGAAGCACCCCAAATGAGCTGGCTTTGGGAGGTTAACTGGTATGAAATGTAACTTTTAAAGGATAATAAAGCCAATAAGAGTCCACTGTCAGTGAATGATATAATTGATGCTTGAATTAAAGTGTGACTTTTAATCCTAAATTCTCTTTTTCACATTCTACATAGAGTTAGTAAGAGAAATCCAGAGTGAAGTGCTTATTTGGTAAACGATGCCTCCCTTGTGAGACGCTGCTGCCATCCTATGTAACACTCTGCACTCGCCTGCTCTGCTTTCCTTTTCCCAGGGAGGCTGTGGTCCTCTTCCCACCTGCCTGTTGCCCAGGTCTCCTCCCAGGGTGGGAGCACCAGTGCATGAGTCAGTAGACCGGGGCCACCTCTTGATTGGCAATTGTAAGTCATTTTAACTCCACTGTTGCAGAGCTGGGATATAGTTCTCTCTTAGTAAGAACCATTGTTTTTCATACCAAATTTTGTCATGGATCACTTCAGTGGAATTACTGCTTTCTTTGCCTTTTCCTGTTCCCAGTTCAATTATAGGTTTTTGCCAGAGTTGTCACAAACAAGTGAGATCAACAACAGAACTGGCCTGGGGCCTGCTCTCCAAGTCTCAGTTCCCTTCCTGAGAGTTTTCCCTTCCCCAGAGCACTCACCCGGCTCCCAGGGCTGACCCTGTCCTTCCTCTGAGCATCTTTGGTAGTTATTCTGAGCGCGTCAGGGCTGCTAGGACTCCCAGAGGATTGGAGAGTGCAGTGCATTAGTGAGCTCCAACCTTTTGTATACGAGAAGCTTTGATTTAGCTTAGAAAAGACGAACCCACATCCTGACCCTTTTATATGCTAATTCGATATAAATGGGTATGTGTCATTCATGTTTCCATTTTGCTTCAGAGGACTTGACTTGGAGAACAATGCACACAAACCCTGTGCTAAAGCTTACAGAAGGAGACCCTTTCTAATTTTCCTTTGGTCTGGAATTTTCCAGATTCAACTTGATATTTAAGTATTTCATGTAGAACGTCATATGTCTTAAAACTTAGTTTTCAGTTTATATTTATCGAGGACCTGCGTACAGAAATTTTTAGTGACTTTGCTAGAAGTTTCGTCTTCTGCATGCTTTGACTCTGTGCGTAGGACCGGCAGGCCCAATGGGAGGGTGGAAATCCCAAAGCAGGTGTCTTGTGTTTTTCTCAGAGAACATCACTTACTGGTGTGAGTGAAACCAGGCAGGAGGGCCTCCCTCACACTTCCTTTTCATTTCCATCACTTAAATGGCTCCCCCAAAGCACTTCGACTTCTCTGTCAGCATTGGTTTAATATCATTTTGTTCTCTTCAGAGTTGTGATTTCTTGATTATTTTTCTCTCTGGTTTTTTATTTCTCTGCTTTGATTTCTGTTACTTTCTCTTTTAACTGTGGGGTCAGATAAGAAGAAGCAGGGAGAACGATGGGCCTTCTCCTTCCCACCCCAGATTTGCATTTAAGAAAGCATTTTCTTTACATGTATACATTATGAATATGCCAATTTCTAGTGAAGGGAGATAGGAAGTGTTTTAAGACTATGTTTAGGCTCATTGTGTCTCTTAAAATATTCTAGTTATTAATCCAGTTGCTTTTATATTTCTCCTTTATCCACATTGCATCCTCAAAAAAGGTAACTAAAGTTTAACAGAGTGGCCCTACAGGTGTGGCTCAGTGGTTGAGTGTCGACCTATGAACCAGGAGATCACCCTTTGATTCCCGGTCAGGGCACATGTCTGGGTTGTGAATTCGGTCCCCAGTGTGGGGCATGCAGGAGGCAGCCGATTAATGATTCTCTCATCATTGATGTTCCTACCTCTCTCTCCCTCTCATTCCTCTCTGAAATCAATTAAAAAAGAAAAAGGTTTTTTAACACAGTGTCCTAAGTGGAAAAACATTGAAGACACATGGGATCCCCCTTGGCTTACCTTTGAGAGCTAGTTAGGTTTTGTCAAACTTTGTGATTTGAATCTGGTCTCAAGTAAATAAATCTGTGGCCCCCAAATCTCTCCCAAATTACTCTTGACCTGAAGAACCTTCGAGAACTATCCTTGTGAGGATTTAATCTACAGCAGGAAAGTTGACCTGCATGATTTACTCCTCGCACTTATCTGGGCCAAACCAGACCTTGGGGATTGGGGAACTTTTCTTTCCCCTGGGGTGAGCAGCTGCTTGTTGTTGCTATTGAGGCCTGTTCCAATGTAAATTTTGTAGGATAATTAGCTCACGTTACTTCAGACCAGTTAAATTTCTCAACCTGAGCCACAAACTAGGAAATATAAATGTACTTTATTTGTAATCTGGCATCACAACGGTGGAAGTTTTTGATCCCAGTATGCATGGCTGGTTTCCTTGGACTAAACATCATCAGGCTTTGTTCATTTGTTGGAGGGATTGTAGTGGCTTCACCTACTTCTCACAATTCATGAAATGTCTGACTTCTTCTCAGGTGCTGACCTTTCTGTACATTGGGCCTAGTTGTCTTTCCTTGGTCTATAATAAATGTAGATGTACTAACTGCTCTACTCAGACATCCCAGTGCTAGTTAATGTTAGCCTTTCCCAAGAGTTCTTGCTGTCCAATTTGCCCCCACATGGCTTCTGTTGCACACTCTGTTGTGTAGGAGGCATTTGAAGGAGCATTCTGCTCTGTTTTGGATAATCATTTTCAGTCAGAATCTTGCTTGTTCTGGTGTGTGAGCCAATGGAAGAAGCAAGACAGCTTGTCTTCACAGACAGAACAGTGCCAGTCTCCATTCTCGTACATATCAGGTCAGGGATTCACCAGCAGCTTCTTGCCTTTAGGGGCCTGTGTTGGTGGTATCAGGGAGCACTTTTGCTTGGCTGCACTTACTGGTACATGGCAGCCACTGCTGTCAGGACTTGAGTTTAAGAAATGCATTGATGGCGTCATTTCCATAAATTGGCACTGATGTCTGCAAACATGGTTGTTTGCAATTATCAACCCTAATGGAAGGAAAAAGAGTCTTGGCTGAGAGCAGTGTATAATACAGTGACCATTTATATTTAATATTGCTGTGCAATCCAGTGCCAACCTTGACCTGCAAGCATTAAGCTACACCACCTTTCTTCTTCCTGTAATTCCTCTAATTTCCTCCTAGCAAACTGGGTGAGAATCTTGGATAATAAACTTTTTAGATGGCCTTAGTTAATGTCATTTAGTTAAGATTATTCTTGCTTAATTAAGATTTGTTTCTCTGAACCCCTCTGAAGTATAAATAGTTGAATACAATTTCCAATCTAAGCTACTACTTCAGACTTCTTGAACTCGCACCAAGAAGTTGATCTGTGCCTTAAATTTTCAAGTAAAACATTTGAAGAATTTTTAAAAATACATTTTTATTGATTTCAGAGAGGAAGGGAGAGAGAGATAGAAACATCCATGATAAGAGAGAATCGGCTGCCTCCTGCAAGCCCCCCACTGGAGATCGAGCCCACAACATGGGCATGTGCCCTGACCAGGAATGGAACCGTGACCTCCTGGTTCATAGGTCAATGCTCAATCACTGAGCAACACTGGCCAAACTGAAGAAATTGTTTTACACTTTTCTGGACTCGGGTTTACATATTTCTTCAGCAGTGACACCTGGTTCATGGAGAAGAGCTGTCAAACCAGCTGTGTGTGAGTGTGCAAGTCCATCCCCAGGACAGTGAAGAGTTCCGTGTATGGTTGGTGTATTAGTAGTGAGCATCTCTGGGTGCAAGATACAGCAGTACTTCAGGAATCTAAGGGCTGGAATGTTTGGGGCTTTTGGAAGCCAGTGAAACAGAATGTAGAGCCGGAAAGCCCCAGATACCAGAAGTACTTTGTCTTCCTGCCTCTCGCCTCTCTCCATGTTTCTATTTCCCCTTTCTATCTCTTAGCATGCTAAATGCCTTTACTTCTCAGATGTGTTCTGATTTAATGACAGAATATGGCTACCACTTCGCTCCCAAGTTTATATGAAAAGACTACTGGACTATCTCTTGTCCTGTTTCAAATTTCTGGAGGAAATGATCTGGATTTAAACCAGATGTCTATCCTGTCATCTGTAACCTACTAACAGAAGGTCACTTCCTACAATCAAGGTTGCTGGGAGCCCACCATTATGAAACGGGGTAGTCTGAGCTCCTGGCCAGGAATGTCCTATTACATGGGCTTGGATGGAACCATCCAAGGAGCTCCTACCCTAGGAAAACCAGATTAGACTCATGCTAAAATTGTATGGTTATTTTTTTCAAATTTATTTATATCACAAATGCATTGGTTTGATTTTTGTATTATTATGCACTTGTTACCTGTACAAATGGCAGCTTACAGCTCATGTCTCAATTTATATTTTTTAAAAATATTTCTTAATTGATTTCAGAGAGAGGAAGGGAGAGGGGGAGAGAGATAGAAACATCAATGATGAGACTCATCTGTCGGCTGCCTCCTGTATGCGCCCCACTGGGGATCAAGCCTGCAGCTGGGGATCTAGCCTTTAATCCTGCATGTGCGACCAGGAATCGAACCAGGGACCTCAACCACTGAGCCACAGCAGCCAGGCTCTCAAGTTATTTAAAGAGAAATAGAAAAGGCCTTGAACAGTCAGTCATCTGGTGTTCAGATAGGTGGTTGTCTGAACCATTCAGGAGAAATGGCTGTATAGATGCTCTATAAAGAAGCCCAAGAAAAGAAACTACAAACATTCTACAGTGACCTGTTCAACTATACTTGTTTTAAAGTCAGTCTTTGACTCTGCAAACAGAACTGTATAATTTTCGGGGCCTAGAATTGAATTATTGACCCAGTATAGACCTGCCCCAATCCAGCCAAATAAAATGAAAGACTTTTCTATTCCTCAGAAACTTATGGAAGTAAGTTCCGTAACACTGGAACAATTTTTGCTTCTTTGTGTCTGCCTTCTTTTTTATACCACCAATACCTACTTAGCTCTGTGATTATGATACAATTTCCCAGGGCCTTAGGAATAGAAGATTGAAATTTCAACTACTTACTGGTAATCTCAAACAAATATCTCTGACTTGTTTTAAAAGACTTTTAGAGCAGATTCCTCAGCTTCTCTTCCACTGCCCATGTATTCCTATGTTTGTCCACATTCTGTGTATGAGAAAATGAGACTCAAAAGTGACTTAAACTTGTTCTGAAACAGTGGGCCATAAGCAGTAGCTGAGCCAGGACCAGAATTCCTGCTTTCTGATTCCCTGTCTGCTGTTCTTTCTGCGCAGCCCTGTGAAAAGGAATCAGGTTAGAGAGGCCTTGTGTCTTGGAACACATGGTAGTTTCTTTCTAATCTCTTTGGTGGCAACATGGAAGGCCCACTCTATAAGAAAGCACAGGGTTCTACACACTTTACATCTCTACAGTCTAACTCTTGCCCCTTCCCCCCTCCTTTAATTTCTTTTAGATCTCTTTCAGGATATTAGTGTGAGAAAAAAAGGTCTCATTAATTTAATCTTTCAATGAAAATATACTAAGTGCCTGTTTGTGCCAGGCCCATTACTACTATTGGACTCACATAGAAAATTCCATTTGACTGAACTTTGAAAATTCAAGGTAGTTGCTTGAAAAAGAAGAGTTATGTTCATATCACCCATTAATTAGATCATTATCATATGAGGTTAGCTATACAGTGTCATTATCACAGTCATATCTCTTTGAGGAGGGCAGCATTCATTATCTTAATTTAAACCTCACAACAACCCAATAAGGCTGGTATTATAAATGCATTTTTATAGATGAGTAAACTGAGGTTCAGGCGAAAATGGTTAACATTTGAGTCATTTACTGTGCACCAGGTGGTGTGTTAAGTGTTTATATGAATCACGCATAATCTTCACAAGAGCCCTGTGATATTCGACCAAAATTATTCCCATTTTAATGATGAAAAGTATGACATTCCAAGAGGTTAGGCATTTTGCTCAGGTCATATAAGTGCATGGTGTGACTTGGTTAAGATGAGGAATTATCTACCCAGCCGCCCCCTTCAGAGCCAGGCTAGGGATCTCCCGTGTATTTCCATCCAATATTCTCACCTTCAGAAGTGGATCAGAGACGAGATTCCTCCTGAGGCCATGTTAAGGCTCTGTGTCTGCCTCCTGCCCATCTGGGGCATGGCACCCCGGAGTGCTCAGTGCTTGGTTGGCCGTGTCCTATGGATAGTCAGATGTCTGGCAATGCCTAGGAGAGCCATGTAGACCCAGTTTTGACCCAAACCTCATGAACCCACAACCATATTTTTCTGTCTCCAATCACTGATCTCTTCCTGTGCAATTAAGAAATCTACCCGCAGGTTCAAATTTAAACCAGTAGCTTGTGTTTAAACTCAGATTCAAGTAGATTATGTATTTTTTATTTTTTATTAAATGTAGGACAGTAAAAGGTCAGTTGTAGAAAACAGGGCATATATGTGATATAGTAAAGGTGTGTTTTTAAATGGAAAGACAAACCATACGTACTCAATTGATAATAATTAGCCCTTTCAACACATCGGCATTTCCAGAGGTCTTGGGAAAATATTATTGCACCTTCTCACTTATTGGCCTTCAAGCTTCCAGTAGTTCTCTTTCCAACCTGCAAGCCTCCTCAATTCCTGATTTTTCCATTTGTTTATTGAGCTAATATTTACTGAGTACCTGCTCTGTTCTAGGAAGTATAGATAACAGCTGTGAAAAAGACTGACGTACTTAGTTATAACCACGATAAAAGCTACAGAGGAAAGTATAAGGTGCTGTTAAAATATTAATAATAATGGGGAGGGAGAAGAGCTGTGAAGTCAGGGAAGGTTTTCTGGGGGATTGATATTTAAGTTGAGACCAGAAGGCTGAGCAGGAGTTAGGCAGGTAGGATGGGAACGGAAGGAAGCGTTCCAGGCAAAGGGTCTCTAGCACATAGGAAGGCCCCAACGCAAGTAAAACTTGACTCATTTAGTTGCTAAGAAGCAGTCAAGGACAGGAAAGTGCTTCCACGCAGAAAAAAAGCCACAGGTTGGAGAAGGACCTTTTTTTGTTCTTTTTAAAAGTTAGTGGCTTGAAAATGGATACTTCCGGAAAAAGTGATGATATTGCTGACCCATTATTATTCTCATGATATGAAAGATGAAGTGGCCTGGTTTCAAGGGTGGTGCTGTGGGGAGGAGTGGGAGCCAGTAGCTCAGAAGGGGGCTGGGGGAGGTGGGGAGGGCTGTGGGGTGACTCTGATTCTGGGGGTTCTGTCTCCTCAGGCCTGAAGACCATTGTGGGCGCCCTGATTCAGTCCGTGAAGAAGCTATCAGATGTGATGATCCTGACAGTGTTCTGCCTGAGTGTTTTCGCCTTGATCGGCCTGCAGCTGTTCATGGGCAACCTGCGGAACAAGTGTGTGGTGTGGCCCATAAACTTCAATGACAGCTACCTCGAGAACGGCACCCGAGGCTTCGACTGGGACGAGTATATCAACAATAAAAGTAGGTGGCCCCTTCTCTGCAAGAGGAGAAAGGAAAATGTATCTCTAGGTTCCACCGCCAGAAGCCACCACTGGGCTTTCACAAAGGTGGCTGGGGCCAGAAAGGGATGCTGGTGCTGCCGGAGGTCACTTTGTGGAGCATGTCCTTTCCTGAAGGCGGGGTTGTGTTCCAAAGCGCTCCCACCCCACTTCTCTCCCTTTAAAACCAAAAGTGAGACTTTGTAGCTTTGTCACATGTGCTCCTAACCTTTTACTTTGAAAATCAGGCTCAGTAGATAAAAATTCTTTTTTCCCTAATTGGGTTGCCTGAGATATTTAAACATTTGGTCTAGAATATACCTCTTAAGCATTCTTAATTCTTCAAGACATCAGTAATTGATCTGGTGGAGTCAGGTAATTTCTAAGGCATCATTTGATCCTATTACAGTGAAGGAATTTTATAATTTCATTTCAGGAATCAGAGCACTTTAAGGAACATTTGGTGTAATAGTACTGCTATGAAATGATGGAAAAAAGTTAACAATATCACTGTTAGTCACTCTTGAGGAAATAAAGGCAGTTCAGTAGCCAAGAAAAATGTTGCAAAGGGAATTTTGCACATAAAATTAAAGGAGTCATGCCTTCCATTTAATATAGGACATGTTAACTGGTGATCAGTGAGGATTTCTAGTTTACCTGTGGTTAAGAGAAGATATAAGGATAGAGGATAAAGTTATATAAACATATTCCAGCTTAGAAAACCCTCTTAAACCCCTTTGAGTTAACTGCTGGACCTGGCATGTAGATTTGAAGTACGAGTGGAAGTCAGATGTCTGGGAAAAGAACATTGCATTAAGGGCTTTATGGTAGCACTTTTAATTTTTAAATACATATAGGAAAATTATGGGAAAGAATTCTTATCAGGTTTCCTGCCTGTCAGAAAATATTTATATGAGCTAAAAATCAATAACTCTTTTTCCTGGGGCTAATTAGGGACAGTGTAACCTTATTCTCTCATTCCCTTAAATCTGCCTTATTCATTTCCTGCCTCTTCAAACTCTTCTAGCAAATTTTTACACAGTTCCTGGAATGCTAGAACCTCTACTCTGTGGGAACAGTTCTGATGCTGGGTAAGTAGCTCACCTAGTTTTACTCTCATCCCTTAAAATAATGTTTCAGATAAAACAGGCAATATTTTCACTTTTCTTGGTGCTCGTGTAGTAGGCCCTAATTGGATCTAACATTTTGGGGCTAACGTGTTTTCTTTAAAAAATGACCTGGCTACTTTGTTTCTTCCCTCTTTCTTTTCTTCTTCTTTTTTTAAATTCCCATTTTTTGGCCTGGTTCTATAGATGGTTATTTATTATCTCCAAGGTCATAAAGATGACTTACAGGACTGTTGAAAGCCCTGAACTTCCCTTTCTTTCCTTAGGCAATGCCCAGAGGGATACCAATGTATGAAAGCAGGAAGGAATCCCAACTATGGTTACACAAGCTTTGACACTTTCAGCTGGGCCTTCTTGGCATTATTTCGCCTTATGACCCAGGACTATTGGGAAAACTTATATCAATTGGTAAGTAATACCTCTTTCTCAAGTGCTACCTCTCTCTCTTTTTTTTTTTTTTGTGATAATGTTTGCATGAGGCTATCTGGGGTTGGGCACCTTCTATGTAAGAGACCTTGAGTGAAGACATTATACAGTCACCTTAGGATGGTATTTCTCTGTTCTATAAAATTACGTGAATTCTTTCGGCTCCTGTCCTGTTTCTTTAATGCTCAGCCATGGGTAGCTGTGGAGGCTCACATCCTCCTGCCTGGCCTGAGAATCTGCTGTCCCTTCCAACTTATTGTTGTTTCACCAAACCATCTGCAGTATTGCTGCTTTTGGATTTGGGGTTTATGGCCTCCTTTTAAGAAACATTAATTAAACACATTGTGCAAGGCACTGTGCTAGACATTGTAAAGATAAGATTTCTATCCACAAGGACCTTGGAGTCTAAATAGATGAATGTTTTGGGGATTTGTAAGATATTTGGACTTGTTCCAGCAGGTCGTGACAGTTTTTTTAAAAAAGGTCAGTACCATTCTACTGGGCTGCGTTGGTGACTGGGCAAGTCATTTAACTTTGCTGTTTCTGATGGAGAAGTTAGTCTAGGTCAGCGGTTCTCAACCTGTGGGTCGCGACCCCTTTGGTGGTCAAACGACCCTTTCACAGGGGTCGCCTAAGACCATCGTGCATATCAGATATTTACATGACGATTCATAACAGTAGCAACATTACAGCTATGAAGTAGCAACGAAAATAATGTTATGGTTGGGTCACAACATGAGGAACTGTATTTAAAGGGCCAGAAGGTTGAGAACCACTGCTTTATATCGTATCCTCTTTAAAAACCCGTCCTATTACAAGAGGATAAGGAAGAATGTCACTCAAGATGGGAACCTCCTGTGACTTGGACCTGATCCCAGAGATGGGATTTGTCTGTTAATACTCTTCGAGGTCCAGTAGGTAAATGAACTAAAGCTTGTATTGTTTTCTTATATTTGTTTTAGAACCAACTGACAAAGTCAAATATAATTCTTAGCCCAGGGCATTTTTTTCTATTAAAAAAAAATGCTCTGAAAGGACTATATTAGGAGGCTTGGGAAATGGAAGAGGGCTTCTTTTGCCACAGTGCTTTGCAATATGAAGGAGCACCGCTCAGTGAGGGACCGTCCTGTTCAAAACGCAGCAGTGCCCCTACAGAGGCACATTAGCCCCGGGCTGTCTTCAGCCTGGTTCAGTCGATTCAGGTGAGTCTGAACGTGGTCTTTCTCTTTGCAGACTTTACGAGCAGCTGGGAAAACGTACATGATCTTCTTCGTCTTGGTCATCTTTGTGGGTTCTTTCTATTTGGTGAACTTGATCTTGGCTGTGGTAGCCATGGCTTATGAAGAGCAGAATCAGGCAACACTGGAGGAGGCAGAGCAGAAAGAGGCTGAATTCAAAGCAATGTTGGAGCAACTTAAGAAGCAACAGGAAGAGGCACAGGTTAGTGGTTAATGCTTTGCCACAGGCCTGCCTGCCAGATCGCCGTGACTAAGGCCCCATCTGATTGCCACTCCGATTGATCTCTTCTAGGCACATTGTCAAATAGCAGTTATTGATCTGATTAAAATACAGTTAACAACTGCCCATGGTTGTTGCAAGTATGCCATTTGTCTTAATGGCCAAATTATTTGGTAATATGATCTTTTGTTGAATTTCTCAACTGTTCAGTGTTCAGCTGCCATGAGGCTGTGGAGGAAAAATAAGTGGCCAGAGAAGTTTAGATAATGCTTCATGTAAACATAGCCTTTCTGTTGAGGAGAATATTAGGATCGCCTTCAGAGATTTTCTGTAGTCTTAGAAAAGTATTGATTGTAATTAAAATTAAGATATAGATGAAATTCTAAAGTAAAATTTGAAAAACAAATTTATAATGCCACCACCCTAACACTTTACTTTCTAATCCTTATCCAAATATATGTGTATTTTTATATTGTCGGGCCCATATGTAAGATATAGTTTCTTAGCATGCATTTTCAGAGTTGCCCAGAAAAGATTGGTGCCAAGAAGACAGCCAAATTCTTATCTGAGATACTCAAGAGAATAAATCCCAAAGTTCTCCCCACTGGGATCTGCTCTGATTGCTCATTGCTATGTGCCACAAAGCAGATTCAACTGGAAAACGGACAGAGCCGGGCCCTGGCCACAGTCTCCTCACTGGCTGGTTCTCCTTCCTCCTTTTCTCACCCTTTTCCGTCTAAGGAAAAGGAAATAACCCGCACTAACTGCTTGGCTCTGGGGGCTCCAGGTAAGTGCTTCTGATCTGACCTGTGGCTCTGGCTTTTCCTAGGC